TTGGTTCCTTGGTCGGGTAGGAGTCGGTGTTGCCGTCGATATCTGTCTCGTCGCTAAACAGCAGCCAATCTTCATGTGAGGGGCCATCTACTCCAGTGTCACGAGTATGAGGGGTCGGGCAGGGCAAGGATGATGAGAGGAACAGGATTAACGCACGAGAGGCCAAAGAGAGACCGAGAAGAGTAGGATTAGGGCAGGAGAAAGAGAGAAGGTCGAAAGGAATAGGATTAAATGAAGCCAAGGAAACACAGAGGACCAGGATTGAAGAAAAGGGGAGATAGGAAGGGAATTGTTGAGGAGCAGAGTTAACAGAAGACAAGAGGAAATGTAGAGAGGAAGAGGATTAAGGGACGCCGATTGTTAAAAAATAAGGATAACGAGAGGGATGAGAAAGGATGAAGAGCAATAATTGCTCGGGAGGAGAGAAGGGTGGAATATGCGGGTTGGAGTGGATGTTGGGGGAAGTGGGTGACGTTAAATGGGTGTGGGAATGGTATGGTTACCGGAGTCGTGTCAAGGAATGGTGGGTTTGCGGTTGCAAAATTAGGAGTGGTGAAGAGTGGGTGTGCGAGAGATAAGGCCAATATGTGCATATAGGTAGGGTGGAGGGCAGAGTGGGCGAGTGTGGGTGGAGGCAGAGAGGGTGTGTGGAGGTGGAGGAAGAGTGGAGGTGCAGGCATAGTGGAGATGGAGGGAGAAATTATATACGGAAGATATGGGAAAAGGAGTGAACTCTCGGATTACATTACGGAAGAGTGGGTAGTTAAGGGCGGCATGGCGGGGAGGGAGATGTGGGTGTACGGGGTAGGAGTGCAGAGGAAGGAGGAGGAGGGAGGGGGAAGGAGGAGAGAGCCTAGTTAGTGGTGCTAGTTGTGTAGTAGGGAAGGTGGGAGCTAGCCTCCTGACAACAAGTATTTCACCAATTATGAAACCAAATTCTCCACCTCCCTCCCTTCCCCTGTTGACCTGGCCAACAGAGAGAACCCATGACCACGACATGGGCTGGTCCATGGAGGGTGAGGGAAGGGAGCAGGTGTTCCTACATCCTGCCTAGGGCTGTGAAAGCGGCTGCTCACATAAGCTAAAGAACTCTCAGGCTACAACAAGCAATGCAACACTTCCTTCACGGCAAAACACAATGTTTCATCAGATATTTTCTGAAAAAAAAAAGCACACACACTGGGGATCCTCTCCTTCCTGAAATAATATCGGGGAAAGGGGAAGGAAATTAGTCTTCAGTTTACATGCTTATAAGATTTCAAATTAAATTGGTAATATTACATTAACAAATTTATGCTAAAATAATGATTACATTTAAATTTTGTGCACACAAACACACCCGTTAACAAAATAAGTGGCTGGAAAATATAAAATAACATAATTTTGGGGGGACGAAACAGCTTTAGATGTACTATATAATATATACAAAATGTTTCATTCTGTTGGTCAGGTAGGTTAACCATATTTTTTAAAGGAGGTGGACCGTTGAACCAGAGGAAGGTCTCGGTCAGATATGACTAAAGACCCGCGTCAGGAAACACTTGTCCTGTTTCCTGATAAACCTTACCTAACATAACCTGCTGGTCAGGTGGACGAAAACGGCGCCAGGCAGTAAGTTTGGACTCTCAACTTTGTGCTCATGTGCACCTGTCGTGACTGAAGATTCAGTCGTCGCTATAGTTACACCTGGATAAACTAGGTGTGTTTCGGTCGCTGCCCGATTCAAGAAAGATATCCCTGTGTCCAATAGGCCCATCCCCTTCTACATCAATGCACGCAAGATAAACAGTACTGAATGTAGCATAAGTTGGAATGCAGCTAAATATCAGTTGACAGTTTGAAACCAATCCGAAGAAGCATTCAAAAGTTATCAAATGGAAACTAATAACCCGATTTCCAAAATCAATCCAAATTTTTCTCTAAAGAAGAGGAATACTCTAGATATTGCACAGAAATTTAATTTAATAATATTGACAATGCTAAACTTACACTGCCCAAAATCAATACTAAGCTTCCTTTGAGGAAAAAACACAAACACTGAAAGTTTAAAGCTGAGCAGAAGATGCATTCTCGAGTTATCGTACAAAATTCAAGAATTCAAAGTTTTTTTCCTAACTAGGTTAGTAAATCCGTAAATTTACACCTACACAGAATAAACCTGAAAGGTAAGTTCTGTTTCATACGATCCATCAACCATTAAAGATTGAAGCCATTTGACGAGGTACACTCAAAGTTATTTCACAGAAACAATGCCCTGTCATTTTAAAAATATTAGCAAATTGGCACCTACACACTTCAATGGTGTATCCTACTTCCGTGTCAAAAATTTAAAGTCGACCAGAAGAGGCTTTATCAAGATATCGCAAAAAACCACAATCAGTAATAATCCATTAAATACCGACCAGAGAACACCTGCGCATGTCAATAGTTCCCTGAATATTTTTCCATCGTTGTGAGTCACTGCGTTGAAAATGTGAAGCCAGTTAGATAATTTATTCTCAACATATGAATAAAAACCTTGAAGGAAGATCACTATACCTTAGTTGTGTTGAAAACGGTATAAAATACCAACAAGCTGAAGATTAAAACACTTGTACAACAGCTGGATATCTTTTTTGTTGAAACGTTTCGCCTGCACAGTAGGCTTCTTCAGTCAGATACAAAGGGAATAGTGGTGGTGAAATAAAGATGTAATCAGTCCGTCAACCTTGGAGAAAAAGTATTTGAGGTGGTCAGTCCCTTAGCTCTATGAAGCTGAATTCTTCTCCAGGCTAAGGGACTGAACACCTCAAATACTTTTTCTCCAAGATTGATTGACTGATTACATCATCTTTATTTCGTTACTACTGCTCCCTTTGTATCTGACTGAAGAAGTCTACCGTGTAGGCGAAACGTTTCAACAATAAATATGCCCAACTGTTGTATACATGTTCTATACATGTTCAACCATATCTTATGACCGACGCTGGAATAAACCCTTACGGAAATGTTATAGTTAAGAGTTCACTAAACTCACGAAGCTTCTTAAAAAACTATAAAAACGCGTTTTCAATATCTCCCATTTTCTTTTCTCAATTGTACTGTTTCAAATTCTCTACACCTCTTGCTTTAAGAAACTGGAATTTGCATGCCTTTCAGGAGGTAACAGAGTGGACAACTGAGAGGTTGTGGTAAACTTGTTCAATAACAATGCAGTATTTCTAATAGGTAAGACAGATTAGGCATTCACAAATTATCGCATAACCAATATTTCAGTTTTCACAATTTCTTAAGTAAAAATAGTAATCTGGCAGGTATATATATTCTAGCAACAATCCGAAACTTCTAACCAGACTACACCAGTGTTGAAATTTTGAAACCAATCAGAAAAGGCTTTTTCAAATTACTGCACCGAAATTCCGTCTGGGAACTGTCATGCAACTTTTACATGTCGACTGTTGCATGAGCCTTCTCCTGGTTACAGTACATCAGCGTTAAAATTTTGTATCAAGTCCAAGGAGGCATTTTTTATTTATAAACGAAAACTTGGTCATGGACCGGGCCAAGGGGGGCGTTGACCCCCCGGAACAGCCTCCAGATAAGAAAAGTAATTCAGCAATCAATTAAAGATACCATACAGAAGTAACTAGCATAGATGCTACACAGAGCTTACACCATTCCACAACTAACTTACAATATGAAGATATTTCAGTCTGCTAGGAACCATTAGCAAATCACGACTGGGAGGAAACGAGACAAATTAAAAAAAAAAAACAAAAAAAAAACAGAAGAGTTTAGGTGAAGATGATGGGAGACAGACAAACCAAGGAAAGCCAGGCTAATTCTGAAGATGAGAATATTGGACAATGTACTGGGAAAAGGAAGCATTAACAGAAACAAAGCTGGGATTGAGACTCATATTAGAAATGTTGCATATAAGAGCCGATTTCACAAGTCTGTGGAGATTAGGAAACGAATATTTGGCAGAGAATCAGCTTCTAAGATGTCTAGGTCTCTAACAAAACAAAAAAAGAGGGTTATTGTCAATCACACAAGCACAAATCACAAAAATATTTAATAGCAACCCGTTACTGACTTTCGGTCGGTAAATTCCTGCATATCAAATCAATTAAGCTACTAGGACAGAGCCACAGAAATTATTAAAGAACTAAAGAGATATAAGGATTGAATCATTTATTATCTACAGTTTCTACAGTTTTCAACGCTTGCCTAACCAACAGGCATGACCTACTTCCACTTATGGGCTCTGCCCACTTGTGACACCGTCCCCAAACTTCTTCACCTCGCCTGTCTCCAGTATATAACTTTCCATCTTCAGGTATTTACTTTACATTCAGCAAGGCTTAGGAACTGAACACCTGTTAAGGCAAAGAGACTGATCATCACAAACTACCTCACGACTTCCATCGTCTATAATAATTATTCTCTGTAATGAAATGATAAAGCCACTGGTGGGCGAAACGTCCCCACAACAAAGATAGATCCCAAAGTGTTATACAAGTCTCTTCTTCATCAACACGACAAAAGAAGTGATCGGTGTACTACTGAGTTTGATGTAACAAGTAACCGGACCGGACAATATATTACCTTGGATGCTGAAAGCTGAACCACTAAGTGAACCAATATTCCAGTAACAAAGATCTTCAACCAATCTCTCTAAACACTGTGACTGCCAGAAAATGGAAAAAGGCAGATGCGGTTCCCATATATTAAAAAGAGAGACAGACAAAAGACAGTAAATGCAGACCAGTATCTCTTAACAGGCGTGCAACCAAAAGTTCCGGAGAAGACTGTATAAACAAGCATATTGGAACACTTGGAGAGAAATTTATTTGTAGAAAACCAGCACGAATTCAGGGATAAAAAAAAATCCTGTCTTACGAAATTGCTAGTGTTCTGTGAGCCACAGATTAAAAAATGAAAGACAGAGTTCGGCGGATTACATCTTTGGAATGCAACTACTCATTTGACAACGTACCACATCAGAGATTAATCCAGAAATTACAACAAGCAAAGTTAAAAACAGCGTGCTAAAGTGGGTCAGGAATTACCTGAATGACAGAAGGCGAGAATAACAGTAAGGGATG